CCAGTAAGAACTGGAGAAGTCAACACTATCTCTTTTGTTGTTATTGTTACTATAAAAGTGAGGTACAGAGGGGTTACAGTTTCATAAGTCTGGTACAGAGTACATTTCTTTTTGGAGAATGACACCTCTTCTCTTGCTCTTTCCCCGTTTCTCCCTCCCATCCCCACCCACAAGTTGTATAGTTCATTTCAACCTAATGCCCAGTGTATATCACTGCTGCATTTGTTCACCCTTTGTCCCTCCATTTCTGTGCCCCCCCTACTCTCCTGAAGACAGATTAAATGAACAAACAAAACAAAAAGAAAACAAAACAAAACCAGCAACAAAGAGAAAAACCACTGTTTCCATTTTGGTGTATTCATTTTGATAAATATTACTTTGTATGATTGGTTGCACACAGGTGTTACATCTTAGTGTTTCTCCACCTGGTAATTATCACAATATTGTGCCAGATATACACTGCTATCTAGGATTACATTCTCAGAGCTATAGACAAATCCCTACTTCAGTTAAACTATTTCCATTTACTCTTTAATCTATTGTCCAATCTATAACAGTTATATAGTCTATCCTTGCATGCCCTTTTGAATATACTGATATGGTAGAAATTAAACACTGAAAAGGGAATTTTATAGTATGTGAGTTATATCTCAGTTTAAAAGTAGATGCTGCATTTTTAATTATTGATGTGTTGTGCTCTGAAAAAAAACATGTTGGAACTTCCTAAAAGTATATTTTTCTTCTTAGTAATTGAGTAAAGCTGGGTGTTGTATCAGTTTGGTAGTTTGACCAGCATTTGTGATTCCATATTCTTCTAAGGATTACATGTATATTTTGCTTATTACTGATATTAACATGGTCATGAAACTATTGAGTATACGTTTTCTTTCTAATAACTCAAGTTTTCCAAAATCAAAAATAATTGTAGGGGCTGGGAAGGTGGCTCAGTGATAGAGTGCTTGCCTTGCAGGCATGAGGCCCTGGGTTCAATTCCTCAACACCACATAAGCAGAAAAAGCCAGAGGTGGCGCTGTGGCTCAAGTAGTAGAGCGCTAGTCTTGAGCTGAAGAGCTGAGGGACAGCACCCAGGCCCCATGGTTCAGGTCCCACTACTGACCAAAAAATAAATAAATAAAAAAACTAATTGTAATGCAGTCATCTACATTATGGTTTCTTATTTAATTAATTATTTGTTTATTTGTTTGTTTATGTTTGAGACCAGACACTTTTGATCATTGGCTAGCCCTCTACCAACTGAGCTACCCCTCCATCTCTACATTGTAGTTTCACTAAAAATGCTATGTGTTTCTTTAAGATTGATTAGATCAACTGTACTATGTTTTAAATACATTTACACTTATTTAGTAACTTGGAGGGCATGATATAGTGAAAGTATTCACAGGTGGTTTGGATTCATCCATGAATGGTATATCTCACAGTGTTTAAGAAAATAGAGCAATTTAAACGTCTTGAGAGAACAGGCTTTATAACAGAAATTAGAGTTTATGTAAATGTAGGAGCTGTAGTACTGAAGACTTGGAGAACGTAAGGAGTTTGGAGGATGGGAAAAATTCACCCACAATGACAGACTCGATCATTTGCGTAAGATGATTGGTCAGAACTTGGGATCTCAGTAAATATCACTCTGGCTTTGTGGAACAGAGTTTTCAAATATATTAAATTGTACAATAATTTGAGTGACATCTTAATTTTTAAAATTCCTTTTAATTCTTTGTCAAATAATTATGGCATTAGAACTACTGAAATTCAACACTGTGGGATGAAAATATCTTTATAGATTCCAATTTGATTAGAAATTAAATGTTTTAATAGTTATCATATTTATGCATAATTTTAAACTAAAATAGAAATAATTCAATTATTTTGGATATAAGATTCAAATTAGCATTGGTCTTATACACTTAATGAAAAAAGAGGATTTTTTTTTTTGAGTCCAGTCGTGGGGCCTGAACTCTGAGCCTGTGTGCTGCTGTCCCTCAGCTCTTCAGCTCAAGGCTAGAGCTCTACCACTTGAGCCACAGCACCACTTCCAGCTTTTTTCTTTTTGCTTATGTGGTGCTGAGGAATCGAACCCAGGGCCTCATGCATGCAAGGCAAGCGCTCTACCACTGAGCCGCCACCTTCCCAGCCAACCCACCCCCCCCCCTGCCAAAAAGAGGATTTTTTCTTGGTTTTCACAATCAGAGAGGGAAAAATTATTTAATGTGTATTTTTTATGTCAGTGCATAAATCATTGTTCTTCTTCTTTGATTAATAAATAAAACAGAGTAGATTTTGATCTCACAGGATAACAGAGTATACCAAACTGAATAGCATACATGTTTATGTATTGATTTTAAATCTTATTCAATAGGGATACAGAATGACCCATTGCAACAATGAGATGTACAAGATGCTATGTGGAAAAATGAACTTTACAATTTAGACAGGGTGGGAGGGGAGGGGGGTGGCAGGCTGGGGGGTGGGGAGTGTAGCTGAGGAGGTGGGAGGGAAGGGATGGTAGGTGAAAATCAAGGGAGGAGGCAACAATGCTGGATAAGAAATGTACTCATTACCTTGCTCATGTAACTGTAACCCCTCTGTACAGTATTTTCACAATAAAAAACTTAATTTAAAAAATCTACTCTATTGTACAAGTAAGATTGGAAATCCTGACAAATAGGTAAAGTATCCTGACAAATATAGGTAAAGTATCAGTTCAGAAATTAGACAAGTAATTCTGTGATTAGTTCCATCATGTTATCTATGTCTTTAAGAAGATTGACAATGTTTTTATTTAAGGTGATCTTTAATAAGAAATGGGAATATATGCACTTTCTTAAAACAAAATCTTGTTGGTTCCTAGGAGACAATGTTCTGTATCTAGGACTGTTTTATACAGACAGCTTTCAACAAACTTTATCTTTTTCTTGATTCTTGGTGTCTGTTTCTAATTTCTTGGTTTTCTAGTGAATCTTCAAATAACCTTACTTAAAAACAAAGATTCTGAGGGAATATTGAGAGGGAGAATGATAGAAAGGGTGACATTGATCAAGCTTCACTGTACTCATAAACAGGCATGTTGAATTGAAACCCTTTTTCCAACTACTTAAAGATAAAAAAATTAGGGGCTGGGAAGGTGGCTCAGTGGTAGAGCGCTTGCCTTGCATGCTTGAGGCCCTGGGTTCGATTCCTCAGCATCACATAAGCAAAAAGAAAAAATCCGGAAGTGGCGCTGTGACTCAAGTGGTAAAGCGCTAGCCTTGAGCTGAAGAGTTGAGGGACAGCAGCACCTAGGCCAAGAGTTCAGGCCCCACGACTGGACCCCCCCCCCCACCCAAAAAAAGAAAATTAATTTTAAAATGAGCCCTCAAAGAATGAGGAATTGTTTAGAAATAGGGAATGCTTGCTAAGTTCAATTATGTAGGTACTTTCCTTAACTTAAGAACAGGTTCTATACCAGATTGTATATGCTGTTGCTTGGCGAGCCTACAAAATAGAAGTGCACTGTCTATTAATTAGAACATTTTGTTAAATATCATCAGAGTAGGATAGCATCCATTTGTAATGGTTTTCAGAAAGGATGATAAAAGAGAGTTGGGGAATCTAAACACATCTTGGCTTTATTCCTTATATCTCTAAGCCCTTTTTCTTCTGAACAGTATATCCCCAACATCAAACTTTAATTCTGTTATCAATAACTCTGATCTCACTTCAGTACACACTAAAGAAAACACTTAACCCTCACTAAGCAAAATTTGAGTGGGCAAAGTAATATCATTTAACCCATCCTCTCTACAACCCATTTTTGAAATGTAAATCTTAAAATTAAACATGCAAGAAACATACCAAAGAAACATAATTTCTTTTCGCCAGAGCAAAGAAATTCAACTTGGGGGATTTGCTGCCAAAAGACTTTTTTATGAACTGATCAATACTTCTGAAATCTTTCAGTAGAGTTGCTAAGCAGACAATATCTTTGCCACAATTATTATTGTTGCAGAGCAGAAATTTTCATATTTGCTTTGCTGTTGGTCCGGTTAAGTATATTTCCAGGTCTGAATGGTGAGAGAGACAGAGACAGAGACACACAGAGAGACAGATAGAAACACAGAGACAGAGACAGACACACAGACTGAGAGAAAGACAGAGACAGAGAAGCACACAGAAACAGACAGAGACACACAGAGAGGAACACAGAGAGCAGTATAGCAGAATAAAGGCAAGAAATACAAGCTCTGGAGACAGCCAGGATTCGAGTGTCGCCTATTCACATTTACTAGAGGTTGGACTTGGGCGCTTTAACCCTATGGAACCTTACTATTTTATTTTTCTTTTGAGGGAACAAAGGGAGAGGGGAACGGGAAGAAGAATTTGGGGTTGTGCTTTAGTGATTTTTTTTTTCCCCTGTAGAGAGGCATAAGTTCCTGATAAAAGCCAGCACTGGGAGAGCTTGCTTGTGATGATGATGGTGATGATGATGCTAAAGGGACCATGGTAAGGGCCGGCCCTGGCGGTGATCATTTACAATCTGCTGAAGCGGCGCCGGCTGAGGATCCATCGGTTGCCCTGGGTTACGGGCGCCGACGTCCTGGCGGTGCGTCTGGCGGCCTGGCTCCGAGCATCCCCGCGCGCACCGGGCCTGGCGCGGGCCTGGGGGTGCGGCGCTTCCATTTCCTTCCCTGCCTCCTCCTTGCCCTGGTGCGCATGCTCGGCCCTGCTCAGTCCTTGCTGTTGATTGATTTCTTTTTTTTTTTTTTTTCTTTTGCAGGCGGCCGCGGCGACCCAGGCCAGCTTAGGGGATGGGGCGCGGGGTCCCCGGAGCTGCAGTGGCGGCGGCGGCGGCGATGGCGCGGTGAGGACCGAACCCGGGGATTAGGGGAAGCGGCTGCGGTGCGCGAGCGCGCGTGCAAGCGCCTGGCAGAGAGGGGGGGGAAAGAAAAAGCAGCATCTCCCCCCCCCCCTTTCCTCCCTCCCTTCCTCCCCCGGGGAGCGCCAAGATGGGACTCCGTAAGAAGAGCGCCAAGAATCCCCCGATGCTGAGCCAGGAATTCATCCTGCAGAATCACGCGGACCTCGTCTCGTGCGTGGGCATGTTCTTCGTGCTGGGGCTGATGTTCGAGGGCACGGCCGACGTGTCCATCGTGTTTCTGACGCTGCAGCACGGCGTGGTGGTCCCCGCAGACGAGGAGCCGGAGGGCACCAAGACCCTCTATCATTATGGGGTGAAGGATCTGGCCACGGTGTTCTTCTACATGCTGGTGACCATCATCCTGCATGCCACCATCCAGGAGTACGTGCTGGATAAGATCAGCCGGAGGATGCAGTTCACCAAGGCCAAGCAGAACAAATGCAACGAGTCCGGCCAGTTCAGCGCCTTCTACTTGGTGTCTTGCATCTGGGGGACCTTCATCCTCATCTCGGAAGACTGCCTGTCGGACCCGGCTCTCCTGTGGAGAGCTCAGGGCCACAACATGATGACGTTCCAGATGAAGTTCTTCTACATCTCGCAGCTGGCTTATTGGTTCCACGGGTTTCCAGAACTCTACTTCCAGAAAATCAAGAAGCAGGACATCCCCAGCCAGCTGATCTACATCGGGGTGCACCTGTTCCACATCGCCGGCGCTTACCTTCTGTACCTCAACCACCTGGGGCTCCTTCTCTTGGTGCTGCATTATCTGGTGGAGTTGCTCTCCCATCTGTGCGCCCTGGTGTATTTCAGCGATGAGAAGTATCAGAAAGGGGTGTCTCTGTGGACTTTTGTATTTATCCTGGGGAGACTGGTGACGTTGATCGTGTCTGTGGTCACCGTGGGCCTTCACCTGGCCGGATCCCCGGGTCGGAGCACCGACGCCATCAGCGGGAATGTCAATGTGTTGGCCGCTAAGATCGCGGTCCTGTCGTCCAGTTGTTCCATCCAGGCGTACATCACATGGACCTTGATTACCGTGCGTCTGCAGAGGTGGGTGGAGGATGCGAACCTGCAGGCCTCCTGTGTGAAGAAGCGACGGTCCAGGTCTTCGAGAAAAGGCACCGAAAATGGAGTGGAAGCTACCCAGAGAGCTGACGCTCTCCCAAAGAGGAAAGAGAAATCTTCCTAGTGAATGACCGGTTCCTGGAGTCCGGGCTCGCAAGATCTTGTCTGCGCTTGTCGTGTTCTCTCTCTGTGATAGTCTATGATTCAGACTAGTTTTGTGATCGGTGACTGTTGATCTTGTATGATTTCCTGTATTTTCTATGACATTTGAGCGGAGGTGATCTTGAGTGAAGGGGTGAAAAAAAGACCTAAGTGTGAAATAGTGTGAAAATAGTTGGGGAGTTACCATCATATTTCTTTTGGTTTTTACCTAGAACTTGTCTATCCCTAGTAATTCATGACCACGACAATGAACTTCTGCCTATCGGTGAGACAATTAACTGCCTCTCCTTCACTCACCTTTTGTGATATTTGAAGAAAAAAAAAAGTGGTTAGAGCAGATGCAGTGTTGACGATCTTTTCCGGGAGAAAATGGAAATTTCCTATAAAGCTTGACGTCAGATGAATGAATATTCCCTATCAGAGATATTGTTTTCGGAGTTTACAACTGAGAAAACAATCCTGTGCTTTATTTTAAACATCGTGATGTTTAGTGCTATGTCCCAATTAAAAAAAAATAAATAAAATGCTAGTAGATAACATCTCTGGAAATTGGTTGACCCCAAGAATCTTCAATAAGTATGAAAATATTACTTATGGGAAAGCTCTCCCAGCCCATTTTAAATTATTATAAGAGGGAATTCACATTAAATAATGTCAGAAAAAAATCAGAGGTAATCTTTTTGTCCCTATGTTTATTAATTTTTCTTAGAATATTCATAAATTTGGTAAAAAAGAGGTCTGAGAATATCGTTTAACCTGTAAGCCTTTTTGAAAAATAATGCTTAATTTACATGTTTAAAAACAAAGTAAATTACAAATTGGAAAACATTTGATGCATTGAACTTACGTTATTTGAAAATAAAGTGGATAGTCTCATGACAGACTTGAAAAAAATATTGTTACAATGATAGTTTGCTTACATTTTTCTGGGGTTAAGGGGGCAGACCTAGAGCTTGAACTCAGGTCCTTGGCGCTGTCCCTGAGATTTATTTTTTTTGCTCAAGGCTGATGCACTATGACTTGAGCCACAGCTTTACTTCTGGCTTTTTGCTGGTTAATTGTAGATAAGAGTCCCATGGACTTTCCTACCGGGCTACCTTTGAACCAAGATGCTCAGATCTTAGTCTCCTCAGTAGTAGGATTACAAGTAGGAGCCATTGGTGACCAGCTGCTTCCTTCTATGTTCAATTGAGAACTATCTAAATAAGACATATATTGGTTAATATAGATCATATTATATATTTAATATATTACATAATTACATATAATATATAAATTTATATAAATAAGCATATAGTTAAATATAAATAAACATTTAAGTATATGTTCATTTAAGTATATGTTTATTTATATAAATATATTTCATTTCTATATTATAAGTGTTTATATGCTTTTTTCAAGGATATAATTCTTGCAGATATGCTAGAGTAAGGCCATTTATTTTCCTCACTTATATTTTCTCCTGTTTTGTTTCATTGTGATCTTGATATTTCTCTCTTAGGTTTATTCTAGTAATTAACTTTTCTAGTCAGTGCAGTTCCTGAAACTTAAACTCTGTATACTTATACCACATACCCCAGACAAAAAAGCTACTCTATGAAAAACTTCCTTAGCTATTTTGTCTGCTTTCAAAGGTAAATGACAAGATCAGATTTCTTTCTTCCTTCCTTTTCTTTTTCGTTTATTTTGTTAGCTTTAGGCCTTGAACTTAAGGCCTGGACCCTGTCCCTGAGCAATTTTGCTCAAGGTTAGCACTCTAACACTTTGAGCCAAATATCCACTTCCAGTTTTCTGATGGTTAATTGGAGAAAAGAGTGTCATGGATTTTTCTGCCTGGGCTAGCTTTGAATCACAATCCTCAGATCTCAGCTTCCTGAGGAGCTAGGATTACAGGCATGAGCCACCAGTGGGTGGCTTCAGATTTCTTCTTATTCATCATTGTAACTTTATTTTCCTGTAATGCTAAATCCCATGGTACCACATGGTTTGAGTCCCCAAGTAAAATATCTCATATTTCAAAATTATCTTTAAAAGATATTTTCTACTCCTCCTAGGTAAAAGAGCTCTTTCTCATAGCCTTCATATTCAAAGAATTTATCAATTACTTTTTTTTTTTTTTTTGGTCGTGAGGCTTTAACTCTAGGCTTGGGTGCTATCCCTCAGCTCTTCAGCTCAAGGTGAGCCCTCTACTGCTTGAGCCACAGTGCCACTTCTGGTTTTCTAGTGGTTTATTGGAAATAAAAGTCTCATGGACTATTCTGCCCGGGCTGGCTTTGAACCAGGGTCCTCAGATCTCAGCCTCCTGAGTAGCTAGGATTACAGGCATGAGCCACCAGCACCCAGCCCCTTTCTAGTGTTTTCTATTGAATAAAATACCAGATTACTGACAGAGACATATTTCCATAGCTGTTGGTTAGAATCATGGTAAGGATTACTAAAATTAACACCTAGATGTAATTGTGATTGGCTTTTTTCCTTATTGGAGTAGCTATAAATGTAACAGTTCAACCCCAAATATCTTTTAACCTTACTCCTGGCAATGAATTTCTTATTTGCTACACATTTAGTGTGTGAAGTGTTACAGATCTGATTCAAACTGGTAAGAGACACTAGAAGAACTATTGTTTCACATTATTAATATTACCAAAAGCTAATATGGCCTTGGCAATAAAGATTATTAGGAACCAGATAGAATTCACAGTATATTCTTAGTTCTCTCTCCCCTTACATTCACTCATTTACTTCCTGCATAGCAGTAGCTGACTATAGCTATTCTAAATTTTACTTACTCAACCCTCTGTGGTAGGGAGAAGGAGACAAAACTGATTTCTAAAATTCCCTGAGCATGAAGCTTACCTTTGGTGAATTCTTCTGAAGTGTTGTACACTATACATATCCATTTAAGTTGCGTGGTTTGATTCATCAGTGGAAGGAGGCAAAGCTGTTTTCATGTAAAATATGGGTTTGCAGGAATTGGCAGTTATTGAGAAGGGAAAATAAAAAAGAAGAATCCTGGGCACCTATCAACTGTTCATGAGTTGTCAATATTGTCAGAAAATGAATGGAGGACAAATGCACTATGAAAACAACATTGCAAATGAAATTCATCCTGATACCAATTGTTCAGGGCCTCTTTAAAAAGTTCTCAAAGAAAATAAAATTCACCCTCCTGTCATAATAAACCTCAGTGCAATAACTGATCACTGCAAAAGAGGAATTCATAAATACAAATATAAGAAATAAATTTTATTAAATACATGCAAGTTCAGAGAATTGCTTTACAACAAAGACTGAAAACTCCAAAAGATACTTATGGAAATTGAATTTTCAGATTCTGTTCTGATTTATTAGCTTATATGTTTGTCAAATATTAATGTTGAAATATGAATGGAAGGCATATATTTCTTAGGATGATTCAAAGTACAATTTTCTTTTAAATCTACAATTCTTCTAGCATTTAATTAATAGTTTATTTCATTTTTCCCAACAAATAATTTGAACACATTTCTCAACCTGTAAGTTTTAGGTCTTACCCTAGAGATAAATATAACTCCATTTCAATAAGGAAATAACAGTTTTATAGAACATTGCTTCATTTACTTTCAGAACTATTTGTTTATCTGTAGGAGAATCATCCACAGCCATCACAATTTATTCTTGGAATAAATTCAAGAGGATTCCAGTTACCATGTTAATAACTTAAAACTTCCTCAAGGATGTAAAATATTCAGATAGCCTTTTAATTGAGCAAAATGGGAGTCAAGTTTGAATTTCTCATTCCATTAGACAGAGAATCAGTTACATAGTATAACCATTAAAAAGAGTTTTTACTAATTCTTTACACAGGAAATTTCATATTGTAACAGTTTCTAAGAGGAAACTCGGGAAAAATAGATGGAGAATGTGTCCTGGCAGAAAATGTGTTCCAGTTGGGCCGGTAGTCCTTTCTTTTTTTTGGGGGGGGGGTCCGGTCGTGGGCCTGAACTTTGGTCCTGGGCGCTGTCCCTCAGCCCTTCAGCTCAGGATTAGCACTCTACCACTTGAGCCACAGCGCCACTTCTGGCTTTTTTTCCTGCTTATTTGGTGCTGAGGAATCGAACCCAGGGCCTCATGCATGCAAGGGAAGTGCTCTACCACTGAGCCACCTTCCCAGCCCTCGGTAGTCCTTTCTGTGTCAATGAAAGTTCCTAATTTTTTTGTGTCAGTCTTGGGGCATGAACTCAGGGCCTGGGAACTGTCCCTGAGCAATATTTGCTCAAGGCTAGTGCTCTAGCACATTATGTCACAACACTACTTCCGGTTTTCTGGTAGATAATTGGAGATAAAAGTCTCATGGCTTTTCCTGCCTGGGCTAGTTCTGAACTGTGATCCTCAGATCTCAGCTTCCTGAGTAGCTAGGGTTACAGGAGTGAGCCACGGGTGCCTAGTTTGGAGGTTCCTAATTTTGATCAGAAATTTTATATTCTCAATTTTAAATTCTGAATTCCTCTAAATTTCTCTGAACCTAATGATTGTTTCTTCATTACATTATTTGAATTAATCTACTGCCAATAAAATTCTATCTACACTGACAACAGGAGAGTTATATCTACTAATGATTCTTAATTATGTGGGAAAATTGTCACATATTCTCCAAATGAAATTATATATTTCCAAAAGCCTTGAATATTCTGATAATTATTCTGTCCATAGAGTGTCTCAATTATGCCATTCAATTCCCTGTTATGAAGTCCTTTGTTGCTCCTGACACATTTCTGGCAGATTTTACATTAAATGTGGGATAAGATATGAAAAAATCACTGGATGGTCTACTCTGGAGGCTGAGATCTAAGAACTGCTGTTTGAAGCCAGCCAAGGTAGGAAAATTCATTAGACTCTTATCGCTAATTAACTAACTAACTAATTAAATAAATAAAGCAAGCATGGCTCTGCCTTGGACACAAAAACCCAAGGACAGCATCT